TTCTGGAACTTCTGAGATGATCCTTGGGTTCCTTCATTTAACGGTTTCCAGTGCTCTGACTGCACAGTTCTTCCCCCACACCCCGCACCCCGCACCCTGCGCGGTCACACCGAACGCCCTGGGGTTTGCCGCCTGCTAGAACAAAGCCATTCATCTCTGGGAACCACAACCAAGGTGCTTGGCCTCACAGTAATTAGGTAATTCTTAGCAAATTGGACTATGGTTCTTTAAGCATATTTTTGGCCATTCTTATCGAGGTATAACGAGCATACGATAAGCTCAATTTTCTGCCTACAAGTCAATGAGTTTTGACAACGTTCATAGTCTTGTAGCCACCACACTCGTGATCTGGAACGTTCCATCAGCCCAGAGAATCTCCTCAGGCTCCTTTACAGTCCCTCTCACCCCTCCGTGATCACCGACAACCCCTGACCTGCTTCCTATCACTATGGTTTCTCGTATTCTAGAGTTTCATGTAATTGAGATCACCCTGGGTGTACACTTTTATGTCTGGCTTCTGTCACTCGGCGCAGAGGCCGTGTTATTTGCACTGGTAGCCTGTTCCCTGCCGAGGAACCTCCCATCGCAGGGTTGCGTAACGGTCCACAACTGATGGGCATCTGAGTTCTTGCCCATTTTAGGCAATGAGGACTGAGGCCACTACTGACGTCCACAGTCTTTATGTGGAATTTCATTTCCCTTCATGAGCACGTAGGGGTGGGACTAGGGGCCCATAGGGTGAGTGTGTGTGTGTGTGTGTGTGTGTGTGTGTGTGATTTTACAAGAAACTATGAAACTGTTTTCCAAGGGGCTGTGACAGTTTGTATTGTCCCTCAGTAGCGGGGGTCGGGGAGGGTGGGTCTCACTTTTCCCATATCCTGCTTAAGACTTTTAAATTATGGCCATCACCGTAGAGTGTGAAGTGATTCCTCAAAGTAGTTTTAATTTGTTTTTTTTTTCCCCTTATGATTATTGGCATTGAGAATATTTTCTATTCTTTTTTTTTTAAGATTTTATTTATTTATTTCTGAGAATACACAGAGAGGAGAGAGAAGCAGAGATGCAGGCAGAGGGAGAAGCAGGTACCATGCAAGGAGCCTGACGTGGGACTCAATCCCGGTTCTCCAGAATCAGGCCCTGGGCCGAAGGCGGTGCTAAACCACTTGAGCCACATGGGCTGCCCCATTTTTCTATTCTTGATTCCTATATTACATATTCTTTGGTGAAGTATCTGTTCAAACCTTGTGACCATTTTTAATTTTTTATTTGTCACTCCATGTAATTGAATTTTTAGAGGTCTTGAGCTATTTTGGATACAAATCCCTTGTGAAATATGTTTTACGAATATTTTCTCCCAGTCTGTGGCTTGCCTTTTGATTTTCTTACCAGCATCTTTTTTTTTTTTTTTTTTTTTTTTTTTTAGGCTGTGGTATAGCTCAGAACATAATCTATCTTGGTAAATATTCTGTGCACACTTAAAAGAGCTTGCATCCTGCTACTGTTGGGTGGGGTGATATGTAAATGCCATTTTGGTTAAGTTGGTTGAGAGTAGTGCTCGTGGCTTTCATCCTTACTGAGCACCTACATGCCTTTTGTATCAGTTCTTAGGATCAGTTTTTTTTTTTTTTTGGATCAGTTCTTTGTATCATTCCAAGGATGTTGGAATCTCTGTGACTTTGGATTTGTCTGTTTCTTCTTTTAGTTCTACCATTTATGCCCCATCTACTTTGATGTTCTGTTATTAGGTCCCCATAGTCTTTTGTCCTCATGATGAATTGGCCCCTTTATCATTATGAAATGTCCTTCTATATCCCTGGTAATATTTGAGACGCACTTGGAGATTAATTTCACTGTTCCAGCTTTCTTTTGATTAGTGATTGCATGCTATATCATTTTCCATCCTCTTACTTTTCATTTTTCTGTCTTTATATTTAAAATGTGATTTTTAGCTGTTAGAATATAGTTGAATCTTCCTATGTTAGCCAGTCTGACAATCTCCTTTAATTGTGGTGTTTAGAACACTTTCATTTAATGTGAGTATTGATATGGTTGTATTTAAATATACCATCTTGCTATTCATATCTGATCTTCATTCATTTTATATTTTGTCCTAATTTCTTTTGGATTAAGTATTTCTTTATCGTTCCACTTTATCTTCCACTTTAATTTATTAGCTATTCATTATTGTCCTATAATGTATAAAAATAATATATTAAAAAGCATAAAAATTGTGGCTCTAGGGTTCACAATATGTATCGTCAGCTTATCACAGTGTCCTGTCAAATAATATTATGGCATAAGAACTTTGCAACAATGTACTTGGCATTTCTTCCCATCTATGATTTGTGCTATTTTAATCATTCATTATTTTATATATGGTCTGATTTTTACAACCCATTATTGTTATTTGTGCTTTAATTATCTTTTTAAAAGATTTATAAAAGTGAGAAAAATGCTTTCTGTACTTACCTCCATATTTGCTGTTTCCGGCACTGATTATTTTTTATGATCCAAATTTCCATCTAGTCTTATTACTTTATAAAGATATTTTGGTTTTCTCTGGAATTCTTGGCTTAGAGATATTTTTCTTTGTGTTTTAAAGATATCACTACATTGTCATCTAGCCTGAATAGTTTATGATAAGAATTTTTTGTATTATTATTATCTTTGGTCCTCTATACGTGCGTCTTTTTTCTCTTACTGCTTTTACATTTTGTCTTTATCATTAATTTTCTGTCATTTTTATATTATGGGCTTTGGTGTGTTGTTCTTCTTGTGTTTTGGGGAGGTTTGTTGAGCCACTTAGATTTGTGGATTTATAGTTTTTATCAGAATTGGACAAAATGGTCATTATTTCTTTAAATGTTTACCCACTCCTTGCTTTTCTGGGACTCCAATTGCATGTATGACAGCCACTAGTTATTGTCTTGACAACCTACTGAAACACTCTCCACTGTTTTGTCAGTGTCTTTACTTCATTTCAGACAGTTTCTATTGCTTTCTCTTCAAGTTCACTAATCTTTTCTTCTGCAATGTCTAATCTGTTAATCCGAGATAGTAGATTTTCCATCTCTGTTATTGTATTTTTCATTTCCAGAAGTTTAGTCTTTTTTGATAGCTTACATTTCTTACTTACGTTTTCTTCTGCTTTTTTGGGCATATGGGTTATATTTATAGTAGCGATTTTAGTATCCTGTTTATTTATTCCATCATCTCTGTCATTTTTGGATCCGTTTAGATTATTTGAGTTTTCTCTTGTTGTGAGTTCTTATTTCTGCATTTCTTTTTATTCCTCATATTTTTTTATTGGATTCTGGTGTTGTGAATATCACATTATAGACAGCTAGATTATTGTATTTTACTGTATTCCATATTGCCGTTCTTTAATTCCTGTTGGATATTGTCTTGGGACACATTCAAGTTATTGAAATCAGTTTGATTCTTTTGACGTTGGTGTTTAGCCCTAGTTCTGGTTGATCCAGAGCAACCTTTAATTGAGGGCTAGTTTGTCCCTACTGCTGAGGCAACACCTAGTCAAGAATTCTGTGTAATGCCCCATGTTTCCATATTGGCTGATGGAAGCATGAATTCTTCTCAGCTCCATGCAGGCATAATGGTTTGCTATATCTCCTCTTACCATGCTTGTCCTTTCCTGGCCTCAAGTAGTTTCCTCCCAAATGTGCACAGATCAACACTCAGCAGACTTGACAGAAACCTCTACAAATTGTTAGAGTTCTCTGCCTGTATAGGTCTCTCCTCTTTGGTATTTTGTCATGCAAATCCCAGGCACCTTGACCTCCCCAAGGAGGACCACTTTGTTTCTTCAACTCAGCAGGACCACGAGGCTTTTTGGCTCCCTCTCACTGGACTCTGGTCTGGAAACTATCTCCAGGAAGTAAGCTAAAGAAATGGTAGGGCCCACCTTGTTTATTTCTCTCTCTCTCTCTCTCTCTCTCTTTTTAAGATTAAACATTTATTTGAGAAAGAGAGTAAGCACAAGCAGGGGGAGCAGGCATCCTGCTGAGCAGGGAGCCCCATGTGGAGCTCAGTCCCAAAATCCTGGGATCATGACCTGAACCAAAGGCAGATGCTTACCTGACTGAGCCATTCAGGCCCCCCTGTTTCTCTTCTTTTGAGGGTAATTTTCCTGTGCTGCTTGTTGTCTAATGTCTGAAAAACCATTAATATACATTCACATATATATTCAGTTTTTAGTCATCAGAGAGGAAGATAAATTTTGCCTTGGGTACTCCATCATAGCCAGGAGTAGGAGTCTTGCCTAATACTTTATTTGCATGTATCTATGTAGCTACAGGTAAAAGACATCAATTATATGTCCTACGATAACATTTTAAAAAATGTCAAAACATTTTGTTAATGTCAACATTTTGTTAATGTCAGACTCAGCTATTTTTCTATGTTAGCAGTTTTTAACTTTTTTTTTTATGGATCATCTAATGAATCTATAACCCACTCTGGAAAATGCACATGGTCACACAATACACATTAGCATGCAAATTAAAAAAAATGCAAAAATAATCCCTGATTCTCCCCTGTGGAACTTGGAGGACTATCTAGGCTAGGTGAGAACTCCTGCTCTAATTAATATTGCTTTGTTTGTTACTTTGGTGATCAAAAAAATTATAATTTCTTCTCTGTCTTACCTTGCAGGGTTATTATGAAAGATCACATTGGCAGTGTCAAAATACTTTACAAGAGTTGTGGAAACATACCATACTTTTCTTGTGATGATGATTGTTACTATGGTTACCATCATTATCATTTATAATAAGGGCTCTTAGGTGGTTTTTAAAGTTGTAGTAAATTCTTGTAAGAGTTTAATGTTCTTTAACTGTGTAGTAAATGCACATACACACACATAAATGTATATACACTCATATGCAAGCATACACATATTTTATTTTTTGAAAGGATTTATAACAGTATAATCATCTATTTACCCTGAAAACGTGCTTCTTGTTCTTGTCCTCTGTTTTCTCTCCTCAACCTTGTATCTCCTGGTTGAGTAGCTGTCCAACATATTTGTGCAATTTTTGCATCGATTTACAAATAAGTGCTGTGTAATGTACTTTGTAAAATTCATTTTTCTGTGCTATTAAAATCAATAAAGATGCAATTTATGGAATAATCTTTTTCAGTTATCTCTATGAACTAGATATGTCTTGTTATTCAGTGTTGGCTATGCATATTCTTTGATATGCAAGAACTTGCCTGCCTTTCACCAAGCGCTTCCATTTCTTCCCTTCTCACCCTCTGTTAGCAGGATGGAAGCCAAGATGGCATCTGCCCCCCACAGTGTGCCACATGCATCTCCATGTGCCATCTCCCCCCTGACCTACTTCTGCATCCTCTCTCTTGCCATTTGTTTCTGTGTCCCCTTCCCATTCAGAATTCTCTTTAAGTGACTAAAGGGCACATTTTTCAAATGCATTTCAGGGCATACCTTCTTTCAGAAAGCTTCATGGCCCGATAGACTCATGCCATCTCCCCCTCTTCAGAGGTCCAGAACCAAGAACTTCTGTATTGGCCTATTCCAGTTCTAATGCCAGAAGTCTGAAATCTGTCTGTGGAAGAGACTGTGAACTCTTCAAGTGTAGGCACCGAGCTAGCTCTCTTAGGGATCCCTCCAGCAATGTGCTTGCTTTAGAGGAGACACTAAATACTTGCTGAATTCAATTCATTGGGACTAATTCTTTCACTCTCTGCCTGATATGACAGATAAATAAATTGCCCTGACCTCTCTTCCTGGGACCTTTGAATAACTGCCCAGGAAAAATCCAGAGACAATCAGGATATCTTCAAATACTTATGGGAGAATGGAAATTGGTTCAATCGCTTTGTAGGGCAATATGGCAGGCTCTCTTAAGGTTGTAAATAGTCATCCTAGCAATTCCTCACTGGGGTACCTGTCCTAAGGATATGCATTCAGATGAGTCAAATATTCAAGGACAAGGATTTTCTCCAATGTATTATTTGTGTTTGCAAAAAGACTAGGGAAGAAAAGCAACAACGGAATGTCCATCAATATGTAAATGTGTAAATTAACTACAGAGTACCCAGTGTAATAGATCCTTGTAGACTGACATAATAACAACATTTCTAAAACATATTTTTAGTTTTTAAAAACATTTAGAAATAATATGACTAGTCTACACTGTTTATAATTTAAAGGCAAATCCCACAAAATTTAGACATTTCTGTGCATTTGTATTTATAGAATCTTTATATTTCCCTCTAGTAGACCTGAATGTCTCTTGGGAATGAGGTTCTAGACAGGTCCGTGAGCAAGGTGGCAATTGGATGCAGGCAAAATTTATTTCTAAAATCCCTTGAGACAGAACCACGTTGGAGTCAGACAGTTCGTCTTTACTAAGTCAAATGCAGCTCTGTATTATTTCCCGTTGTGTTGGAGCAGATTACTGTTTCTCCAGGCAATTTCTTCCAAACTGAGGATGGCAGCTTGCATTTTGGGGCCACCCTATTCAAGCAAAAATAAATATGCTCACACCGTGACAGGCCCTCCGAAGCTGAGACCATACAGTGTTTCCCAGCAGGAGCATGGAAACATTAGGTCAGGACAGTGGATGTTGGGTGACCCTGTGCAGGATGCGTATCGAGCATCCTTGCCTCACTGCCTTGGATGCTTACCATCCCCTCCCTTCATTGCGCAAGGAAACATTCTTCCAGATATTTCTAAATGCCCCCTAGGGGGCAGTACCTCCCCTGCCTGAGAACCACCGGAGTAGGATCCACATCTCCCAGTTCATTCTCACTCTTGTCTAGGCACATGCTCATTGTATATAACCACCATTGAGTGGAGTCACCTGCTCGGTTTAAGTAGGATCTTTAAAAATTACTTTTCTCTTTCTTTAGGAATCTTCGTAGTTGAATTCCTATAAGCTGTATGCTCCAGGGGTACTTTCCTGCTATTGCAGTTATCTATTGCTTTATAACAAAGCATCTAAAATATTGTGGCCTAGGAAAATCCATTTTATTATGCTCACGGAGTCTATAGATAAAGGGTCTAGACAGTGATTGCTTCTGCTTCACAGTATCGGGGGCTTCAGGTCAGAAGACTTGCAAGGCTATGCTGGACTCTGGCTGGGGGCTGGAATCATCTGGAAGTGTTTTCATTCACATATTGGGATGGATGTGAGAGCATTGAGAATAACTCAAAGGCTGGGTTTTGGTGGGTTGGAGCCCAACTGAAGGGGCTGGAGCATGTACACATGGCCTTGCAGGGGAGGAAAAGCTCTTTTCTCTCTACCCTCCTAGGTTCATTGGCTGAGGGCCCTGCAGACTCAACTTACAAAACACAGCTTAACAAGAGAAAAATAGAGTTTATGAACACATGCAGTGAGCATACACGTGGGAGGAGCTCAGTGACTATTAACTCTAAGGGGCATTTAGATAGAGCTTGGGGCTTACATAGCATCCTAATGAACAGTAAATTTGTATGGCAGTGACAAGATGAAGGACAAGGAAGTTTTTAGACTTTCAGGCGTGACATACTGGTGGGGGAGGGAAATATGTATGGGAAACTAATGAGACATAATAAGGGCTATTTTAGTAAACTTAGAGTTGTGTCTGGGGATTAGGAGTCTGAGCCTGTTGTTTTTGCAGATGGAAGGGAAAGCAGAGAGCTTTTGTGTGCAGGCACGTCTGCTATTTCTCAGTTGTCTTCAAAGGGGTGTGTTTTAGGGTGGCATATTCTGATTTCCTATAGCTTTTTCATGTGGCTTTGGGTTCCTCACAACATGGCAACCTTACCTACATGCATGGTGGCTTTAGGGCTCCAAGGGTGAGTGTTCCAGCCAATAAGCAAAGCCTCGCGGTCCCTCATGACCTAGCCTTGCAAGTTACACAGCGTGAATAACGAAAACTTTTTCATCTAAGCTGCAGCAAGTCCATCCAGGATGTAGACTCTACCTCTTAATGGCAGGGGCATCAAAGAATTTATAGCCATATTTTGAAACTACCAAACCTAGTGAGCATAGGAGAGCATTCTGAAAGGATATGCATCGATCTGTTAAGGGAATCTATAAGATTATTTTATGGACTAAACACGTTAGCATATTGGCAATTTTATATGAGTTAGTCTAGTGATAGTAGTGTTTGGAGAAGATTGGGATGGGGAGAGAGTAATTCAGGACAAACTTCACCTTACCTGTCATTCAGGTGTCCTTTACGATGATAACAAGTCCATATATTTGCTCATATAATTTTTTAAGGGACGATATTTGACCTTCATCATAGAAACAGTCTTATAAAAGTGGAATAGGAGAGAAGTAGGGAACTTTGAACTGCTATCAGTGATATAAATATAAAAATTATTCTGGATCCACAAGCAAATGTCAGAAAATACAGCCTCTTTGATTTGATGCAATAGCTAAGCGTTGAGTGGAAGAGGTGCTATGATTAACTTGCTTGGAAAGGACGGTAACTAGACAAGCGATCAATAGTTAACATGTATTGACCATTTGCTACATGGAGGGCGCTGTTTGCGTTGCGACGTTATTTCTCAGAACCACCCTCAGAATACAGGGAGGACACACGGACTCCAGTTGATTTGGGAAGACTTTAGGAAGACTTCAGGAAGGACGTAGGATTTAAGCTGAAACATAGGAGCAGAGGGTCTCAGACTCTGGAGGTCATCACCATTGCCGGAGGGGTTTGTTCAAAATGTGAATAACCGCCCCCCCCCCCCACTACTCCACCAGGTTTATCTCAGACCTTCTGAAATGGAAACAGGAGCATCTATATTTGTGATGGGGAGTCTGGTGTGTTAAAAACTTGACCTACTTCTACCTTAGAAACTCACCCGGAGTTTTTGGGAACAATGATTCCCAGGCTCCTGTCATGGAGATTCCAATTCAGTAGTCTAAGGCAGGAAGCGGTGTCTTTACTAAGTCTCAGGTGACACTTCTGATCAGGCAAGTGTCATTGGAGACGATGGTGAGAATTTGACCTTCAGAGGTGAAGGAGAAGAGAGTTCCTGTTGGGGGACAACTTCTGCGCAGGTGGGAGTAGGAAAGTGTAGATGGACTTGAGTCTGCAGTCAGTGCTGTGGAGCATAGATTGGAAAAAGACGCTGGAGGGAGGAAGCTAGTTAGGCCACTGCAGTTGTAAAGGTGAGAAGGAGCTCTGGCCTCAGGCTCCTTCTACTAGGGCAGAGATCACCAGGTGAGTGACCATTGCATACTACCACCTACCTTTTGCACATATCCTAATGCCTGGGATGTTAGTTGTGATGGCTGGAGCTCTGGTAGCCATTTAGGACCATAGCATGAACTTGAAAAAAACAGTTGTATGGTAGGATGATGAAAGTAAGAGACAGAAGAGAAATTTGATTTCCCTGATTCAAAGGTCTTCTACTTACCTAAGGAACACTCATATTGTGCACACACTAATAGAAGCAGGCAACAGCTCCCATTACAGAATAACATGTGTTTGTGTGTGTGTTGACCCAGAGGGAACTCTTCCCAGTGAAGATCTTCTTTGTTCCCTATTTCGTGAATTGAAACTGGATCATAGAATGCCTCGCTGCCTCTCATATGCAGTCATTTGGCCAAATCTGGCCCTCGGATGTGGTTATCTTGGCCAGCAGGCTGTGTTAATATCCAGAAAAGCTCAGTTAAGCTGTTTGAGGGCACCAGTAGATTCAGGCAGAGGAGTTAAATCCGTTCCTCAGATGAGTGTTATCTTGGACATGAAAGTACTGTCTTTAGAGTCGTGGCCTGGCGTCACGGTGACAGGAGTGGCACCAATAATCAAGGTACTGGCCATTCGTGTTGATGGAATGTGCCAGGACGTTCGCATCATCTCACTTAATCCTCACCACGGTCTTACACGTTGGATTCTCTCTTCTCCTCATTTTACAGGAGGGGAAAGGGAGGCTCGGCGTTGTTGGCGTGCTCCGCCCAGAGCCCGAGCGAGTGGCCACCCTGCGGGGCGCTGCCCGCCTTCCCTGGGGCTCGAGGAGGGCCCATGCCCATGGGCGCAGGCCAGCCCTGCGGCCGTGAGGGTGTGGGGTGTGGCCAGCTGCTCCTCGGAAGCTCCTTCCAAACAAAATAGGCCTCTGTACTCCACGTCCAAGTTAAGTAGGTGATTAAGTGGGTTTTATTTGGCCAGTGGTTAATGAGAGTTGAATGAACCTGCGCGGTTATAGTGTGTCCTCTGATGCGGGGCCTCCCTTTGCAGGAGCAGGCGGGCGGCAGTGACAATTGCAACATTATGTAAATGACCGCCAGGAAGCGGGTTGCTGTGGGCAACTGGGGAGTTTGAGGAGCTGCCTCTCTTCTCCCTGTGTTTCTGCCTCGGGCTTCCCTTCAAAAAGCCCTCCGGCATCGGCTACCCAGATGTATTGCCCTTTATCTCTCCTTTACCTGATTTTCTCCTTCATTATTGCTCTCAGGTTGGGGCCATTTGGCCTCCCCTCTTGGGAGACTTGGGCCTTTCAGTTCTTACAAACGTCTCATGCATTCTGGACACTTCTGAGGTTCCCTGGGGCTCCCAGCTGCCTCATTACCCAAGGCCTGTCTTTGATTTAGTTCAATTTATAGTCTCATGTATATACCTCCTGCTTCCACTCTCTCTGGGGAATGAATGGGGGCGCGGTGGAGGGAGGGAGGGGGAGCAGGGTTTATATAAAGTACTGCGTGCTAGGTAGCCATGCCCCACACAGGGAGTTCAGAGGGCCAGGAGAAATCACACCTGCCCGTTCGCCCATCACGAAGGGCGTCTACCGTCTTCTCTTAAACTGGGGTTCGGGGTTTGGGGCCCAGGCTCAGGCTTGGGGAAGAGAGGAGGCCTCAACCTCACTTGGGATTTGACGGGGCAGCCGCTTTGTGACAATGCTGCCAAGAGAGGTGGCATGAATTGCGCCATGGGATGAACATAAAGGCAGTCAGGGCCCTTTGCTGATCAACTGGAGCTCACATCTCAGGATGGCCCTTGGGTATAAGATTCTGGAAACACCTGTATAAGGACAGGGTAAGAGAGGAATCAAAATTTAAAGAGCCAAGAATTGATCCTTCCTCCTGCCTTCCACCCCCCCCCCACCTCTTTTCCTCCCTCCCTCTTTCTTTCTCTTTCTAGAGTGAATATTATTTGGGGATGGCTGTAAAGCAGCAGAGAAATAATCACATGAAAACCACATCTGTAGTCAACATAATAATAGTGATGATTACCTCTGCTCCTGACCCCTGCCACTTCTCCAGTTCTCACAAGTAGCCCCCGCTGGCCCCAGGATCCTGCGCTAGCTCCCCACCGTTTTCCTTAGACCCTGCTCACACCTTAACAATAGCTCTTTACTGAAGGCTCTTTAGATCCTGCCCTGGAGGCGGCCGTCCGAGTCCTGCCAGGAACCTGAGGCAATAGGTAGGAGAAGTGGCGTTAGAATCCACAGCCCAACTCCACAGACATGTTCACGTGTTGGGAGGTCCCCAAGAGAACCCCTAGGTGTGACGGTTTGCCTCTACCCCCCGACGTGGGACTTGGGTGTAGTTGTCCCCATAGCTATGATTTATTACAGCAGAAGAATCCGATGCAAAATCAGCACAGAAACAAAGTGCATGGTGCACGATCTAGGGAGACCAGGCGCGAGCTTCCAAGAGGGCCCCTCTCGGTAGAGCCGCGAGGCCTGTACTTGCTTCCTCTGGCGATGAGTTGTGACAACCCGTGTGGAAAGTCAACCCGGAAAACTCAGAGGCTCGGTGCCTGGGGGTTTTTAATGGGGGCTGCTCGTGCAGGCACACCTGCTCCGTGGCACGTACCCAGATCCCAGACTCCCAGAGGAAAGGCAGGGGTTCAGCCTAAGCCGTATTTATTTATTTATTTATTTATTTATTTATTTATTTATTTATTTATTTATTTATTGATGTTTTTATTAATTTTTTGTATTTTTTTAAGATTTTATTTATTTATTCATGAGAGACACACACACACAGAGAGAGAGAGAGAGAGAGAGAGAGAGGCAGAGACACAAGCAGAGGGAGAAGCAGGCTCCATGCAGGGAGCCCGACGTGGGACTCGATTCCGGGACCCCAGGATCACGCCCTGGGCCGAAGGCGGCCCTAAACCGCTGAGCCACCCGGGGCCGCCCTATATTTTGTATATTTTTAAACTGGAGTTTGATTTGCCAACCTATAGTGTTCTTCTTTATACAAACAGTTGAAGCCACTCGTATCGAGGGGGGATATTGGAATTCTCCCCATTTGCAAGCTCCCGGATGCCCGGGCCGGCCGGCCGACTTGGCCTGGACTTCCGCAGACCTTTCCAGCAGCAGCAGCTGCCACGTGAACTCCTCCCGCGCAGCTCCGAAGCCCCGCAGCAGCATCTGCGGGGTGTTTGCTCTGCACAGGGTGCTGCATTTGGAGGAGAGGCCCATCACCTCTTTGGACGACAGCATGTAAAGTGGACGCTGCTTTTAGTTCCCTGTGTAGGTGAAAATCTGCTCACCGTGATACAGCAAGTACGTGGTGAAGACAGGATTAGAATCCGGGTCGACCTGGCTCCGACGTCGTCCATCAAAGGTTGGGGGAGGGAGGCAAGTGGGGTGGAAGCGGAGGAGAGACGATGACTGGTACTTATTTGCAGGTGGCGTTGTTACGGGCGATCTCTAGTTTCTTCTTTGGGCATTGGTATGATCTGTGTTTTATCCCTAAGGCACATACATTGTTTAATCAGAACTAATTTTATGGAGAATTTTGGGTGAGTCTCCTTTAATATATAAATAAACCTAATTATAAAGGCAGGTTAAGTGTCGGGGAAGCAGATGAGCGGCGCTAACTTACTTGAGGCCAGTTTGTTCTCTTGAGCAGGTGAAACAGGTTCCCTCGACGCTGTTTACCCTTGGCGTTTGCTTAGCAGGACCTTGCCCCCTCGATGCGGCCGCCCGGCCCCGCGGCGTCGGCCCGCGATTAATAATCATCGCAGGTTAGAGATGCGCCTCCCGGCAATCCCCAAACCTCCCCAACTAGAAGAGTACTTTCCTTTTAATAACTTGAGATAAAAAAGGGATGGAGCGGATCCCTGGGTGGCTCAGTGGTTCAGCACCACCTTCGGCCCAGGGCGTGATCCTGGAGACCCGGGATCGAGTCCCACGTCGGGCTCCTTGCGTGGAGCCTGCGTCTCCCTCTGCCTGTGTCTCTGCCTCTCTCTCTGCATCTCTCATGGATACATAAATAAAATCTTTTTTTTTTAAAAAAGGGATGGAGCTTGATTCTTCCCAACTTTGGTGACCGAGGTCGTGGCGTTCATACAAATGGGGTGTTACGTCGTGGGACGTCTACCAACTAAGTCAAGGAGAGAAGCAGCCACTAGTCCCAGAGCAAAGTTTGAACAGAGCAAAACCCGGTGTCCTGGGGAAGCCCCACGGGGCACCTGGCATAGACGTGCCCCCCACAAGGCCCCCCTGCGCTGCTCAAAGGAATCACTGCCGCTCGACCGGACCCTGATGGAACAAGCCCGAGAGGGAGGTGGCCTCAGCTCCTGCTCCCCGAGCATCTGGCCCTGTGTCTTCTGGTTTGCAGACCACTGCTGGCGTCCTGTGTCCAGTGGCCGCGCCGCTCGGCGGGCTGCCCTGCCCGGGGGCATCAACAGGCCCTCCACCCGGGTTAGGGCCCTCCGCCCGGGGTCCCCGGCTGGATTCTCTGCAGCCCCGTGTGTGGCGCCGTGTGGCTGCTGCATTAACCTGCAGGCGCTGCCTAACGGAGCAGCGCACAAGGAGCCGCCCAAGCCGCACGCTGGCCCGTCGCCTCCCGCGGGAGGCCAGGAGTCTGAGGCTCAGGGTCGGAGGCCTGGTCTCCTCCCAGGCGTGGGTGTGGCTGGCCATCTTGTCCCCACGTCCTCACGTGGTCTTCCCCATGTGTGTCAGCGTCCCAGGGTCTCCTTGTAGGGACAGGTCACATCGGATGGGGTCCTGGTCCCCCCCGCCCCCCGACCACTTCCCACTGCATCTCGAGGACTGCGGCTCCAGGTCCCGTCACGAGGGCTGGGACTTCGGGGCCGGCAGCGCCCTTCAGTTCCTGACAGCTGCTGGGACAAGGCATCATGAGTTCATCGACTCAAGAAACCCAAATTGATTACCTTACAGCCTGTAGGTCGGAGCCTGGACCTGAGTCTCCCTGGACGAAAAGCAAGTGTCAGCAGCTCCCTTGCCTGGGCTCGGGATTGCATCCGTTCCTGACTTTGCCCCCAGCTGCAGAGTCAGCGTGTGGGTGAAGCCTTCCCTCGTCCCATCACTCCCACCGCTCCCCAAATCCCACCCCCCCAACCCCCGATGCCTTTTCCAGCCCCTCCTGCCCTCGTACGCATCCTTTTTGATTACGTTGGGCCCGCTGCCCATCCAGGTACTGCCTGCCAGTTAGGAACCTGCACTGCACCTGCGCCTTCAGCTCCCCCTCGCCCTGTAACCTCATGTGCTCCCGGGTCCCGGGGCTGGCGGTGGAGACACGTCCAAGTCCATTTTCTGCCCAGCACGCTCCCGGAGCCTGCGTGTTGGCCCAGATCGAGTCTCGGGGGTAAGGCTCCCCCAGGACGAGGAACATTCCTCTACTCTGCAAGCAAACAGACCAAAACGACCTCCCTAAGAATTTGCCAGGAGTCCTGCGTCGGCCTGTGGGGCTTTCAGGAGAGCGGGAGCCTCATAACCGGGGACATTGTGATGTTGTTGAGCCAAGGAGGCGCATGCTCCCTGCTCCGGCCTCACTGCCCCCCCAGACACCAGGATCGTCCCGTCCCGGGGCTGCAGGGGCCCGGCCTCAGCAGCTGCTCTCCTCCCAAGGGGAAATGATTTGCTGCATCCAAGCAGTTACCCACTTTGCTTCTGAAAACCTTCCTAAGGAGCATTTTGACACCCAAGTGGATACGTTGATGGGGAATAAGAAAAAAAAAAAAGCGTTTCCGGCCATCTGGTTTAGGGAAGGTGGTGGGGAACATCTCCCTGCCCTTCCCTGCGGAGCAGATGCAAGAGGGGAGCCCCTCACCGTGTCCCCGGGCGGGAGCTCAGGGTGTAAGGGACGCTCCGGGGGAACCGGCTGCATCGTGGCCGTCCTAGGCCTTGAGCCCTGGATGTTCCAACTGCAAATATGGTCTTATTTCTACTGCGTTACCACCCTTATAACAGGGTGTGGGTTTTTTTTTTCCCCCCAAAGACTTAATATTAACCTCGTGACTATTCTATTTGGTGGGTGTTTCCAGGAATCAGTACTGCTTGTCATTTTTCAGAGCAGGTCACCAATTTCTTTGTCCTTGAAGGAATGAGCCATGTTAGTCTGTGTGAGTTGAGTGGTTTCACTTTATTCCTACTGTTCATCTGATTTGGTTTTTCTTCTAGCCCTCATTCCTGAAACTATTTTATCCTTTTCTCTCTCTCTCTCTCTCTTTTTGTTTTTGTTTTTGGGCCGTTGCATGTATTTTTTGTTAAGTCTCCTTCAGCCCTCTGTGGTTTGAGTTGGAATGGCACTGGATAGCTGAGTTAAATTTCTCCTTTTCCTCCCAGAGTGTGGTCTTGTTTGCACTCCCGTAGCGCTGTCCCTCCGTGTCTCGTGGTGACACATTATGCTCTGCTCTGCTTTTTAGCACCCACCGCATGCCGAGTTCTACACCGCACAGGAGACACAGACCCTTGGCCTCTAGGCGGGTCAGCCTGGCAGGGAGGGAAGGGCATGATTCAGTTACATGAGACCCAGGAGAAGCAATCTGCGGGGGGAAGTAGGGTCACTTGAGTGTGAATCACAAAAACAACCATCCTGACTTGGCGGGTAGAGGCTGGGAAGGGGTTGGGGAAGGCTTCGCCTTGGCTAACGCTTGGAGTGTTGGTAATATTGAGCCGAGAGAAGACATTACATGTAGAGGAGAGAGCGTGTGCAAAGGCCCTGGGGTAGAAGGAGATTTGGTATGTTTGTGGAACTGTTCTCCTTCTGGCTACCTGGTTCCTGATCCAGATGTTACTGAGCTTTGCCCTGGGAACTCTGTGTTTCTGGGTCCCACCTATCCCTTGCCTGGATATTATGCCCAGAACCTATTATGGTTTTTTGTTTGTTTGTTTTCTGCCTTTGTTTTTTGTATTTTTAAACATTTATCTATTTCTAAGAGAGAGAGCATGAGCCAGGAAGCAGGGGGAAGGGGCCCATGGAGAGAGACACTTAAGCAGACTCCACCCTGAGCACAGAGCCCTTGCAGGGCTCCATCCCACGACCCTGAGAGTAGAGCAGAGACCAAGTGTCGGCCTCCCCACCTGCTGTGCCGCCCAGGTGCCCCATTATTGGGTCTTGAAGAATGGCTTCACCCGGGAACCCTCGTCCCCAGTGACCGCATGGAACACAGCCAAGGACCCAAGCATCCCCTTCGTTATCCCGTCCTGATCACAACCACCCAACAGTGGTCTGCCCCGTCCAGTGAAGACAGTCCCGTAGGGTTCTGTGAGATCAGGGGAGTTAGGGTCTTTGAATTTCTTGGAAGACTCTGAGGTGCTACAGATGCTCGTGCACCTTTGCCCCTGGTGAAAGAGTCCCTGTGGGATGCCACGGCTCTCACGACGAGTGTGTGAGGGACTGACAGCAGGGATGGGTTGGAGGTCACGGAAGGGATATTTTTAACCAGAGGAGTGACCTCCTCCTTCACCCTCATCCTCTTGGAATAAAATGCTTGAAATTGCTTTCGGCCCCAGGACACAGCCACGTAGTACTTTAGAGAGAAAAACAACCCACGATTGGAAAAGTAGAAGGAAGCTTCGCGTTGAATTCTCCGTCCCGCCGGCAGTGAACCCGGCCCGGGCAGGAAGGACCTAAACCCTCCTCGCTGGGGAATCTGAGGGGTTTCTAAGGATTCTCCAAACCTCCCGGGCAAAACCCAAAGCGACTCTGACCAAGCTTCCTTCCCAGTGTTTCCGGGGAAGACAAAGGGATGATGTTGTCTCCACAATCCCCAGGTGGCCCTAGGAAATGGATTCGACAGCTGTGGGGGCGGCAGGGGCTCAGCCAGACTTGTTATATATTTAGAACAAGTAGCCTCCAGGAAAGCTAGTCTGTGTCCATATGTGGCTGCTTAACGTGCTCCCTCTGGAATGATCCCATCCCTTTTCGCAGCCCACCTCCAGCCCGCGCCCCCTCCCCGGCCTTCCAGGGCTGCACGATTTTGCTGCCCAACGCCTCCCTCCATGGGCCCGGCCCCCAAATGCCCCCTTCCTCTTCTGCTCTCCCCACTTCCCAACCCCTTAATCCTCAGTGGGCTCGGCGTGGAGAGTAAATCTGATTTTCAGTTGCTCCCACTAGGGTTTGATGATGGCTAGTGAGCCCCCCCCTTTTTTTTGTAGGTTCACTGCCTTTATTTATTTATTTTTTAATTGGAGTTCAATTTGCCAACATCTAGCATATCACCCAGTGCTCGTGACCCCTTATATTCACGGAGAGGTATTCTCATCGTGGTGACGCGGATCAACCCAAGCGGGTCTCCAGCGGGTGGGATCGCAGGAGGCGTGGGGGCCGTATCTGAGGGCGAGGAGGTTTTCCCCGCTGTCCTAAGATGGGAACCTTGCAACCCCTGCCCGCGCACAGGTGTTTGGCCAACGTCAGCGGGGTCGGTGCGTGCAGACTAAATCTCTCCCCCCAGTTCTCCAATAATACACTCAGCCGTCCCCCCACCCGGCCCCCTTCATCCCGGCCCGCTGCCTGGCTTGTCGTATGGGGGATTTCGTCCCCCGGTTCACGTGGGGCCCAGGCGAGAGGGCTGGGGTTTCCCGAGCCGAACAGCCTTCCTCTGGTCAGTGACCTCAGTCCCCGCTGTCCTAACTCAGCCCCTGGAGCCAGCGTGGGCGGGAGCCGATAGGGGCAGCCCGAGCCAGCAGTCTGTGTCTTTTAGTTTATTTTTTTTAATTTATTTTTTATTGGTGTTCAATTTGCCAACATATAGAATAACACCCAGTGCTCATCCCATCAAGTGCCCCTCTCAGTGCCCGTCAGTGTCTTGGATGCCCCATGAGACCCACTAGCCCCAGGTTTTTCTGGCCTGCTTGGTTTTCCTGCATCAAGATCCCCCTCTGTGGCAGGAAAACTTAGTAAAATTCACGCTGCTCCCGGGGCCTTTGCAGACCTGCACTTACGGGAGGGGAATGGCCGAGACCAGCACGTCTGGGGGGTTGGGGGGCCCCTCAAGGCAGAGGTTTGGCTCCCCGTGTCGGTGTTGCAGGTCTCAGGCGAGCCTCTGCTCAAGGCCGCGCGGGCCGGGAGTGTGAGATGCTCGTGATCCTGCGAGACAGCGTGGGCGGGAGCCCTTTCTACGCCAGACCGTGGCACCTAAACCCCTGAGCTCGGCGTGCTGGGCTGCGTGCCCCAGAGAAAATGTGCCTGTTGGTGACTTTCCAAGCGGGAAGGGGACACGGCGACTCCTCAGTTCCGTAAATGCAGTCTGTGCACCTGAATCCGAGACCCGCCTGGCCTGCTTGGCACACCCCAGCGTTACGTGCTTGAGCGGGTTCGTCCTCTTTCTGTGCCTCACGTACAAAGCCAGGGGCTCGGGCAAGATTTCTAATGCCCCCCGTCTGCTGAATTTCTGAATCTGTGTGTATTTGACCCATCTCCACCTCACCCTCCACATTGCAGCCAGACTATTCGTTCTGAAACACATGGTCGGGCGCCCGGGTGGCTCAGTCGGTTAAGTGTCTGCCTTTTGCTCAGGGCATGATCCCGGGGTCCCAGGATCGAGTCCTGTGCACGCGGGGGTGGGGGTCCTTGCTCAGTGCGGGGGGGTGTCTGCATCTCCCTCCGCCCCTTTCCGCTGCTTGTGATCTCTCTCTCTATCTCCTAAGATAGATTTTAAAGATCTTAAAAACATACACATACAAAACCCCACATGTTCGACCAAGGTTCCCCCCACCTGGCACACCTGCAGTTTCCTGTTGCCCTCAGGGTGAAGCCCAGGCTTCTTAGCTGGGCGTCCGTGGCTCGGGAGGACCTGGCCCCGATGGCTTTATCTCCTGCCCCTTCCTCCCGCCGCCGGCACCCTAGTCGCACGGACCGCACGGTGCTCCAGGAGCTTGCCCCGGCCCGCGGCCCCTGTGAGCGCCACCCCCCCCCCAAGACTCCGGCTCCATCACTTCTTCATCTGCTATGGACCCTCAGTTCTTAGCTTGAACGTCTGAGATGCCTTCCCGTCACCCAGCCCAAGCCTGGGGCAGGCTCACCTCCAGCGTGCCCCCTGGACCTGCCACTGAAACAGTTCTTACAGCAGAGTAGCGTGGCCCCTGTTTCCCTCTCTGCCCCCTCCCCTGCTGCATCAGAGCCAACTCAGAGGATGGGGCCATGGCCTGCCTGCCCCGAGCCCCCCCATTTCCCCACCCCCCCGTCCCTAACACAGTGCCTGGCGTGCAGCATTGATGAGCCATCAATACGTGTCACCCGAACCATGTCTAAGCGGCTGCGCTGCCCCCAGAACATTCTAGCAGGAGGCAGGCCGGGGGCCACCTTGCGCATGCTCTCTGGTGACCTGACCCAGGTGACGGTCACCCCACTTTCCAACATACCCAGCTAATCTCCCGGGGGTGGAACTGGACTCCGTGTGTGCCCCGTCCTCGCGCATTTCCCCGAAGTGACTAGTAGGAGCCGGGAACCGTGCGGACACTCGTGTTTGCTCCTTTCCTCAAGTACAGCGCCGCCGCTCCACCAAGGACGCCCGGCCCGTTTTAGATCCGTTCTGGCAAGCCCGCTTCCTGTTCCCATTCCGTCAATCATCTCCCATCTTTGGCAGGAAGGAGAACACGCAGCTTTGCATGTGCCAACCCCAACATATTTCTAATTCCATCAAGCGTGGCTGGATACGCGCCCCTTGTGCCGTAGGATTTTAAGATGCTTTAAAAAAAAGTCACGTGTGTGAGTGTTGCACAGGCAGGCCCAGGAGCCATCGGCAGCCCGGGGCCGCGCCTGCATCTGTGAGCCACGTCTTGGCCTTTGAAGTCAAGGGCTGAAGCCCCGGCGGACTGCAGAGAGGCAGAGGCCGAGGCTGAGCGGTGCCCCCTTGCAGATGACGCCGGGCCTGGTACCAAGGACCCCGAGTGATGATCTGAGAGTGCAGCGCCCTGACGGGCGGCGGTCAATCCCCAGTGAGGGCCTGGCACTTGGCCTGGTCTTTCTAGTCCATCCTGTCGGGGGAACACGTCGCGGGGGTGCAGGGGGCTTTGCGAACTGGGGGTTCGGGGCCTCTCGTGGTGGCCGCGCTCCACTCATCCGCTTGGAGCCCTCACGATGCTCTGGGAATTCACCCGCCCCTGAAGCTCCTTTTGAGAGCAGCCAGTATAGACTCACTTCTTAGGGACTTTGATGCCTCTCCGAGGGGGTGCGTGTGCGCGCGTGAGTGTGTGTAAATCCTTTTCTCCCATCGGTTCTTTCGCTCGTTTTGAAGTCTCGGGAGGTGCCCCCCCAGCACTTGTGACCCACCTTCTTTCTTGTCATTGATGCTCTGCTACGACCCCGAACGTCCTTTCTGCTGCATCAAGAGTGCTTTCGATGGGATCCCTGGGTGGTGCAGCAGTTTAGCACCTGCCTTTGGCCCAGGGCGCGATCCTGGAGACCCAGGATCGAATCCCACATCGGGCTCCCGGTGCATGGAGCCTGCTCCTCCCTCTGCCTGTGTCTCTGCCTCTCTCTCTCTCTCTCTCTCTCTCTCTCTCTGTGACTATCATAAATAAATAAAAATTAAAAAAAAATAGTGCTTTCAAGCCTCAGCCTCCCTTCGGATGCGTCCCTTCTGGGCTGCCCAAGTCTGACCTCCTACCCGCGCCGCCGCCGAGGACGCCGACGTGCCGCTGCCTGGGAGCCGTGTGGGCCGAGTCCGGAGTGGCGGCTCTGCTGGGCCTCAGCGCCCTAGCCGAGAAGCCCGGGGTAGAAAGTAGTAGCTGCACCAACGTTTGATTCGAGTTCGCCCTTTACTTCGCTGATCGCTGTGAAAATCAGTTGTAAGAGGATGGAGGATCCCCCCCCCCTTTACTTAGGCCCACGTTAATTTTGCTCTTTTCTTGCCGTCCAATTTCGCTCTCTTCAGTTCTGTCTCAGCTGGATCCTGGTGTTTCACTGCACATATTGAACTAGCAGAGCAATAATATGTTATGATTAATAAGTGGCTCGACAGGCAGGGAAAAAAAGCAAATCTTATTCATTGCATCGAGGGTGCTGTGCAAATTTGCTGTTTTTTGAAAAATGTATGTTGTCAGCAGGATGGTTTTTGTCTGGCTCCTTGGCCCTCAGCTCCCCGCTTCAGCCGGATATTCCATTTCTTTTCACCTGCACATGCCAGGCCTGCAGGCTGCAGGCACGCTTGCTACCTTTCTAACCCTTAGGAACTCAGGGTTTTGGAGGCCGCCTCCCGCATCACACAAGATACCTTAAGTGCATCCACGTCATACTTCAAGTGCAATTTTATATAACCGTGTAAGAATTTGGACTCCATTTGGAGTTGCATTTGGCCTGTTGGCGTCATAAATCTAAGTACCAGGCCCTCCGCTGAGCGTGTACAAGTATGGCATATGCACTCAGAGCGATGCAAGGAGCAAGGTGCTCTTATGATCTAAGCAATTTTTTTTTAATTTTTTAATTTTTTTATTTATTTATGATAGGCACACAGTGAGAGAGAGAGAGAGGCAGAGACACAGGCAGAGGGAGAAGCAGGCTCCATGCACCCGGAGCCCGACGTGGGATTCGATCCCGGGTCTCCAGGATCGCGCCCTGGGCCAAACGCAGGCGCTAAACCGCTGCGCCACCCAGGGATCCTGATCTAAGCAATTTTTAAAAACATTTATTTATTCATTTTAGAAAGGGGGAGAGAGAGAGGTGGAGGAAGGGGCAAAGAAAGGGGAGAGAATCTCCAGCAGACTTAAGCTTGGAGCCCGACGTGGGGCTCAATCCACGTCCCTGAGATCATGACCTGAGCTGAAACCAAGAGTCAGCTCCTCAACGGACTGAGCCCCCCCTGATCCGAATAATTTATTATTTTTCTGATCTCTTTTGGGCTTTATTTGCATGGTTTGGAATGATTTTTTTTTCTAGGTTTCCAGAACTGTTTTTCCCTTGAAATCCTAGGTTCTAGATAACATGGGAGCCATGAGCCGTAGGTGGCTACTGAGCCCATGACTGTGGCTCCTCTTATTGGGCTCCACATGTAAAATACGCCTTGGATCTCAAAGACTCAGTACAGAAAAAAATAACGTGTGACAAGTTATTAATGACTCTCTGTATTACCCGCGTGTCAAAAGTATCATGATGATATTTTGGATACGTTGACTTAATATACGATTAGAACCAATTTCATCAATTTCTTTTCTTTTCCTCTTGTAGCGAGGCTACTAGAAAATGTAAATCGCACACAGGCCTCACATTCTGTTTCTGTCCACGGAGCTGCCCCGGGGAGCGTGCAGAGGGCCGGGGGCTTAAAACAGCCTCCGCTTGAAGTGCAGCAGGGCTAGGCCACGGGTTCATCTGACCACGTCCACGAGGGTTCATCCGTGAGGGCCTACTTTGTGCCAGACATCCCCGGGGACAGGGTCCACAGCATCGGTGTCCAGCCTTGTGCTCCAGGGCCCTGCTCAAGGGCAAACGGGATTACACGTCTTGTCCCCTAGGGCAGGGGTCTGGGTGGGGTCTGGGCCAGAACGACGCAGTTCCTCCTTCTCATTCACACACTCAGTCAGGATCTCTCTCCCCCGTGTCCCTTAGGGTGGGAGGCAGGGTCTCTCTCCACCTTGTCCCTTGGGGGCTTGTGTTTGTCCAGCAGGGACCCCCAGGACGAGGTCCTCTGTGGGCATCAGCAGCCCTGTCTGTCCTGCTTCTGGAGTCCCACGCCTGTGACCCCAACTCTTTATCATATTCTAACCTCTGGCCCGAATTCCTGAGCCTGAGACCCTCCAGACGGAGAGCTCGCGCGTCCAACCACAGATCCGTGAGCCAGGCCCAGTGCTGACCTCCCCGTGTACACCTGCCGCAAGCAGGCAGGCCAGCGAGTCTCCTTCTTTGTCCTCTTTTCAGTAAAAAATGCTCTAGTTTCCACCGTTTCCTGGATTCCCTTCTCTAGAACACAGGCCCCGGGGCGGCCGGGCTCGTGGGCTCCCTGCAGTGCCGGGGGCACCGTGGGAACACGCCGAGGCTTTGGGGCCGGGCGCAGCTGTCGCGCCTGGGTGAGGCAGGGCTGCGGCGTGGCTCGGTGTCCCTCTGGTCACTGTCCCTTGTCCTCTGTCTCAGTTCCAGGATTTGATGGGCTGCCGTTGAGGCGCGTAGACTTTGCTTGGATCATGGTAGGGCCTCCCCACCCGAGCTGTGGGGACGCAGCTGCACGCATCTTCCCTCCTGAGCCCCACTCTAGAATCTTTAATTGGACCTTTGCTTTCTGCCCCCCATTTGCAGAACATTCTCCCCACACCTGGGGGTGTTCTTTATTTCTTCGTCGTTGCTCCTGGGTCTGCAGCCCACGGTGCTTCCACTCCTTGGGCGGTGGGCTGGTCATCCTTCAGAAGGTTCTCGCCTGTGTGGAGGGCTCCGGGCCACCTCTGCGTGGGGCAGCCGGGCAGCCTTTCCTGATTTGTGGTGCAGTTGCTACACTTTGTTAAGCACCGTGTGTTCACCCTCTGGACTCGTGCTGGATGCTGGGGGCTGGGGGATCGATCAGAAAGAGAGAAAAGGCTCCCTGCGCCCTGGGGATGCTCACAGGCCCTATCATTCTTGTAGACAGGGGACCAGGGCACTGTGCAGTAGGCATTGGTGAAAGGCCCCTTGCTCCATGGTGGCTCCACAGCTCTGTGACCCCCACGGGGCTCCGAGGATGGCAAGCCCAGCGACTCGCCCGGGCTTCTGCATCGCACCTGCCCAGGAGTAAAACCCAAAGCGCATGCCGGAGAAAACCCTGCTTCAATGGACGAGGCCTGGTTAGCCGCAGAGCCCCCCTTCCCCTGCCCACCCGCCTCCCCAGCTCTGAAGATTTTCCACTGGAGTCATTAAAGCGAAATCCATGTTGCAATGGCTCTGAGCTTTCAGATCACTTTCTTTCTTTATTTTTGCTTCCGTTTTGTTTTTTAAATAGGACATGTAGCCATGAAGGGACTTGGGATTGATGGGGGAAGGCACTGAGCTCAGCCTTAACGAACCCCATCTTGCTTTGATCTGGTCGTTGCAGGTGGCTGTCTGTGGAGTGTGCGGCCAGGGCCCAGGACAGGGGCGGTGTCTCTAGCGGGGGCTTCCAGCAGAGTTCTCTGCGTATGACAATGACAGCACCGCAGGCTCTCCCTCACCCCCTACCCACACCCAGCCCCACCCCCTCAAATTTTGTTTTTAACAGTTTTTTAGAAGTGAGTGTCTGTTCTGGGGACTGTCTGAGGCTCTGTGTGCTTTCTCACCTTTTGGAGAAGTCGTTTCATCTCAGGGGAACAATGCCCAGGACAGTTACTGCCCTTTCCTAAGCTGGGTGTTAGGATGCACACCGGGCCCTCCGTGGTTGAGCGCCCTCCTCGGAGCAGAAGGCTCGCTCAGCATGTCCGGTCTCTTCTCTGGGCTGGGACAGTGCAAGCTCCTTCTTGCCTCAGGGCCTTTGCACCAGCTGGTCGTCCTACCCAGAACTCTGTTTCCTTTGTCACCTGCTTCTTTCTTGCCTCTCTTTTAGGTCCCTGTTTA